CTGCCGTCGAACCGGCTCACAAGGACCACCTCCCGCGGCTCCACCAAAGACAGCAGCTACCGGCCAGAACAATCCCACCGGCACCACCGGCCACTGCATCATTGTCGGCGAAGCCATTCCATCACCGTCGTGCGAGCCAGAACCGGCACCCCGCGCAAAACAGCAGCAACATCCAAGCCGCCAAGCCAGCACCAGCCATCCCTGATGCTGCCGAAGACCAGCCGGCCGCCAGCCGTCGTCATCCCGGCTATTGCGCTGCCCCAGCAGCCATCACGACCGCCATCGCTACAATATGGTTAACCTGTGATTTTCTATGAACAGTATGCGGAGCTGTACGTACATCATTCTTTCAGTTTTCGATTCTTGATCCTGTGGCAACTCAGGGGGCTTTCCCTATCACACCGGCCACAGTGGAGACGCCAGGACGTGGCATCAGCGGGACGACATGACCTGATTGGCAATTGCTGTTGTTTATTTCAATCCAGGTCGTGTAGATCACAACCGCATTAATTCCGAGTGTGCACAAGTGGGTCATGCAGCCTCTGCAAAAAGCCAGGAATAATGCTACTCTCTCCGTATTAAAAACTTCAAAAAATGTCTTATATTTTATAGTTTTAATACAGAGGGAGTATACCAAATTTTCGCAAAAAAAGAGGGAGTACTATATATGATCCTGTATATGTTCATCAGCTTGTCAGCCTGAATGCCCGTTGTAACTACCACCATTGCCTATTGCTACGTCGTTTTACCTTTTTTTCGTGCGGAAGCTGTAGTTTCTATTAGTTGGTACAGTATGTTCTATATACACCTTTAAGAAAATTCTTGGTATGTTGTTCAGACAGATTTCATAGAGCAGCTCCTTCATGCCCGGTTTGAGCAACAGCGGCTTGGATTTTCAGCACATACATCACACCAGTCGCAGGTCAGTTAACTATTATCCACCGTCCATCTAAAAAAAAACTATTATCCACCGTTCATGACAATGTTTGGTACCATAGTAATGGTGATGTATATGAATGTCGCATGTCAAGTGTATTCATTTGGTGCAACCTTTAAAAAAATTCATTTGGTGCAAGAATCAAATTAGACTGAATGGCCCATACTACGAAGAGGAAGACGTTGGATTCACAATTATTAATAGAGGTCCCGTCATGTGTCGTGGATGCATCTATACTGAATTTTAGACTACTATTTTCATCAACAGGTCGGCATATCCGGCTTTGGTCAGGATGATGTGTATGAAATCTTCGGAGACATTTCGTTGAGAGGGCTTTCGCACGAGTCCCTGAAGAAATTGCCACACTATGTGGTAACTGATCAGGTCCATAGCACATTTCATGAAAACCTGCCTTGCACTATTTGTCTACAGGTACAATTATCACTATCAGAATAGGCTTCATTTTTGTCAGAAAACATCTTTCTTGCGTAATTTGCACTTGCACTGCCATAGAACAGACTATTACCGGCAGGTCAAAAGCCCTTTCAATGGCCACCCGCATGCCCATATGGGTCAGGGATCTTTATCGAGAAAAATATGGGTCAGGGATGTCTCACCCATCTCAAACGAGTGGAAAGGCCCACCAGTGATAGCTATCATCACAGGTGGGTTCACAGATATCACCCGCCACTGATTTTTTTATTTTTTTGGAATGAAGGCTCGCGAAGAGCCCGGCTTTGAATTAACAAAGCCATCACCCGCCACTGATCACTACCATCAATGGCAATTACACACCCGCCTGTGGTGTGCTTCATGAGGCACAGAAAGCTGAAGGATGAATAGCACTCACACACATGCTGTATTCCCTCATAGGCTGTTTACATATATAGGGAACAGAGAGAGAGAGAGAGATGTTGGGGAACGTAGTAATTTCAAAAAAATTCCTACGTACACGCAAGATCATGGTGATGGCATAGCAACGAGAGGGGAGAGTGTTCGTCCACGTACCCTCGTAGACCGTAAGCGGAAGCGTTAGCACAACGCGGTTGATGTAGTCGTACGTCTTCACGATCCGACCGATCCAAGCACCGAACGTACGGAGCCTCCGAGTTCAGCACACGTTCAGCTCGATGACGATCTCCGGCCCTCCGATCCAGCAAAGGCTCCGGAGATGAGTTCCGTCAGCACGACGGCGTGGTGACGATGATGCTGTTCTACCGGCGCAGGGCTTCGCCTAAACTCCGCGACGATATGACCGAGGTGGAATATGGTGGAAGGGGCCACCGCACACGGCTAAGGAACGATCCGTAGATCAACTTGTGTGTCTATGGGGTGCCCCCCGCCCCCGTATATAAAGGAGGGAGGGAGGAGGGGGCTGGCCTAAGGGGAGGCGCGCCCTAGGAGGGGGAAACCTACTCCAAGTAGGTTTCCCCCCTCCTTTTCCTAATCCAAGAAGGAGGGGGAAGGAAGGAGTAGGAGAGGGGGAAGGCAAGGGGGGCGCCGCCCCCCCCCCCTTCCTTGTCCTATTCGGACTCAAGGGGAGGGGGCGCGCCACTTGCCCTGGCCGGCCCCTCTCTTTCTCCAATAGGGCCCATCAAGGCCCATTACTTCCCGGGGGGGTTCCGGTAACCCTCCGGTACTCCGGTTTTCTCCGAAAACTCCCGGAACCTTTCCGGTGTCCGAATATAGTCGTCCAATATATCAATCTTTATGTCTCGACCATTCCGAGACTCCTCGTCATGTCCCCGATCTCATCCGGCACTCCGAACTCCTTCGGTACATCAAAACTCATAAACTCATAATATAACTGTCATCGAAACCTTAAGCGTGCGGACCCTACGGGTTCGAGAACTATGTAGACATGACCTAGAACTATTCTCGGTCAATAAGCAATAGCGGGACCTGGATGCCCATATTGGCTCCTACATATTCTACGAAGATCTTTATCGGTCAAACCGCATAACAACATACGTTGTTCCCTTTGTCATCGGTATGTTACTTGCCCGAGATTCGATCGTCGGTATCCAATACCTAGTTCAATCTCGTCACCGGCAAGTCTCTTTACTCGTTCTGTAATGCATCATCCCGTAACCAACTCATTGGTCACGTTGCTTGCAAGGCTTATAATGATGTGCATTACCGAGAGGGCCCAGAGATACCTCTCCGACAATCGGAGTGACAAAACCTAATCTCGAAATACGCCAACTCAACATGTACCTTCGGAGACACCTGTAGTACTCCTTTATAATCACCCAGTTACGTTGTGACGTTTAGTAGTACCCAAAGTGTTCCTCCGGTAAACGGGAGTTGCATAATCTCATAGTTACAGGAACATGTATAAGTCATGAAGAAAGCAATAGCAACATACTAAACGATCAAGTGCTAAGCTAACGGAATGGGTCAAGTCAATCACATCATTCTCCTAATGATGTGATCCCGTTAATCAAATGACAACTCTTTTGTCCATGGCTAGGAAACATAACCATCTCTGATAAACGGAGCTAGTCAAGTAGAGGCATACTAGTGACACTATGTTTGTCTATGTATTCACACATGTATTATGTTTCCGGTTAATACAATTCTAGCATGAATAATAAACATTTATCATGAAATAAGGAAATAAATAATAACTTTATTATTGCCTCTAGGGCATATTTCCTTCAAGAGAGAGGGTCGTGCAGGTGCATGCACGCTCGTATCTTGTGCTATCCCTAGAAAACTGGATCGGCTGTCATAACACACGTACATACATAAGAGATAACACGTGCAACACATAATGTTCAACGCCCCTGTTGTGGCAACAACGCTGGACGTGACATTGAGACAGTTGTGAAACTCGGTGAAGACAGTAGTTGGGAGCCCTTTTGTGAATATGTCGGCAAACTGCGAGTCTGTGACGTTATGGGTATATGTAGAACATGATCCTCACCCGACTTGACGCGATCCCGAACAAAAATGATGATTAATCTCCACATGCTTCGCCCACTGATGTTCTATTGGGTTCGAAGACAAATACATCGCGTTCACGTTGTCACAAACTCACAATAGACGACAGTTGCATGATCCGGTGGATGATGGAGCTCGGTCAGAAGTTGGGGAAGCCAACATGACTTAGCAACACAATTGGCAACCGAATACTCCGCCTCAGCACTAGAGCGAGGAACAATATGTTGCCGTTTCGAAGACCAAGACACGACATTGTTGCCCAACAATACACAAAATCCAGAGGTGGGTTTGCGAGTATACAACCCGCCCAATCGGCATCCCAGTATGCAATCAAATCGTGAGTGGAGGATTGATATAGTTGCAAACCAAGCTGTGTGCTGCCCCAGATATAACGCAAAATGTGTTCTATGAGCTGAAAATGTGAGTCACGGGGATCATTCATGAAGAGGCAAACTTGTTGTACTGCATAAGATAAATCTAGGCGTGCCAAGGTGAGATATTGCAACGCATATGAGGGACGTGGCATATGTGTTTGGGGAGCATAAGCAGCCAAAGACGCGGAGATGGTTGTATGTTGGATGGACACCAAAGAGAAGATAGTAGGGCGTAAGAAAATTAATGGGACTGGATGGGTGGCGATTGAGGAGATAGGTGGCGGTATGGAGGGCTTCAACCCAAAATGGTGGTGGAAAGTTTGCTTGAATGAGGAGCATACGAACAATGTCTTTGGTTGAGCGAATGAGTCGTTCGTCTTGGCTGTTTTGAGGGAAGTGTAGGGGCAGGAGAGCCGAATACTAATGCCATCTTTAGAGAAGAATGTGCGAAGAGAGTTGATGAAATTCACCGCTCTTCCAAACTGACAAGCAGAGCATATACAAGGGGCAACATTATTATCCATGGATACACAATTCCTTTATCAAGTGGAACTTAATTCTAATAACATGAATTAGAAGCTAGCTACCAGACACAAAGTCACTTAGTATGACCGGAATTTGACCAAGAGGCGAAATACAATAATTTTGAGTTGGTTAGCATCCAACATTTAAATCCTCAAAAATCATAAATGGTTGAAGGAACTCTTCTAAAGAAATAATAATAAGTAACCTGATGCCAAAGAAGATGTAGATATTAAATAGCGTCACAAAATAGAGGTGACAAAACTGTGTATGTATTGAATAAAGGTGTATGTCTTGAGGTGAAATGAAAATTTTTTTGGGAAAATACCAGGTTAAAGCATGGATATTGTTAAGGTGTGTATAAGCAAAACGATTAAAGCACACATCATTTAGAGGATCTTTTGCCAGTGCTTCACAACAAATGTTTTTTTTTGGCGGAAAGCTTCACAACAAATGTTAAAACACTTTCAAGCAAGAAACCAAAAGAGAACACAGGAAACTACCAAGTACAAGAAAACACATTACGCAAATAGACTTAGCTGTGGATTGAACAGTCTGCCTATGCACCGCGGGAGCAGACGTAAATATCCTGGATTCTTAAGGGAACAGTCCTGATTCTGATTGAAGTTGCAGTCATTGCTCTATAGGACTCTGCGGTACTTGAAAACATACACAAAGTTGACATCCTAAATACTCCATGATTACACTAAATTTAAATTTTTATATAGACACCAAAAAGACATTATCACATATTATAGAAGAACCAACTGTAGTCAACTTAGATAAGTAATTATTGTAGAGCATTAAGGTGGCAATCAATTAGCTTGGAGGAGTGTTGGTTTTGGTTCAATAGAAATGTACTCCCTCCAATATTAGTTGTCACTGAAATGGGTGTATCTAGACGTATTTCAGTGCTACATACATCTGTTTGAGCGACAGCTAATTTGGAACAAATGTAGTATTATTTACGAGAAAAGCATGTCCTCTGGCTATTTCATTAAGAAGTGAAAACCGACAAACCTGCACAGAATATTTACAAAAAGAACCAAAAATAACAGAGCCAAAAAACTACATTATGTTGAAGTTCTGTTGCTACCACAATTGCATACAAGGAGTCAAGATTAGCTAACATGTTATACACTACCTGGGTCATAAATGTGTGTTAAGTTGATTAGTGTCCTGAAGATCCATAGCTGACTAGTTTCACTAGGTGGTTGCATGTCGATCAATGCCCCGAAGATTCGTAGCAGAGTTAAGAGCGGGCCCACCATAATTTATGGGTATTCTGCTGAATACACGTTAATTTTGGCAAAATAATAATATGTATTGTTCTGTCTAACATACAATAGTATAATTTTGCCATGGAATATTAAAAGGGATGAAGTTGTAGAGTAGTTGGTTGAGACATTATTACCTGGGTTCCTCATTTCCTCTCTTTCACTTGGATTATATTTTGATCACTATTACATGTCTAGATAAAAAAATCATGTGTTTCAATGAGCATGAGATATTTTGACATTAGAAATGGCAAAGATATGCTAAAATTGTGTCTTTGTGACAAAAATTCGGTTTCAATAAGGCCGAAGTTTGCAAATTTTCATTGTGCTACAACAATTATCTGTATGGTTTATTTATTGAATTTAAACACGCATTTGTTCATTTGTTTTGGACAAGGCTCACATGTCATGGTGTCAAAACCCGTTCTTTGTTGATTTTTCCACTTTAAATTATATTTTTTTCATGATATTTTTTAATACCCATTTCTAAAACTTGAGCCCGTCACTGAGAAGAGTACTTACCACTAGGTGACTGCTGCTATTTTCCAGCTGGTTGTCAGTGGTGATTGATCTGGTACTGAATCTCGGGCTAAACATTGTGCTAACGACTAAGGTTCATGGAACCTTATGTACTAAAACTCAGCTAAGACCAAACCTTTTCTTCACGGAATATTGTGAAGCAGCTAACCTCCAGATTTGCTTTCGCATTTTGTTGAAAAAATATTGTGAAATTGATGTTTTCTCATGCATAAGCAATGGTGTTCTTCTACATTTTCGTTACAAGTGATAGCTAGCCAGCGTACACCTGAACACTAAACCGCAACACCATGGTTGAATAATGAATGCAGAGATGTGCAACAACAGCCACGTTCGTGTCTTCTTTAGAAGCAATTGCAGTTAGCAAGTTCCATAGCAAATTTTGCCTACTACTGAATGCAATGTGGTTGGTGTTTACTTTGTGAGTTTTTCATGTTTTACTTTTCAAGAAAAAACAAGAAAACTATTTTTTGTTTATCTCAACCTCGGAAATCCTAATAGTATGCTTCTTGATCTTGTAGGATATGGTAGCTGGCGAGACAGCAAGGAGGTTGCCGAATTGCTCCCATGCTTTTCACCAGCCCTGCGTGGACAAATGGCTCTTTACCCACGGTTCATGCCCTGTGTGTCGGCAACATGTGCAGCGTATATAGGAATACATGGATTTTGTACAATCGAGTCTCTGCCCTAGAAGGAATTAATTATGTAAAGTATTTGCTCTCATACATTGTAGAAAGTGAGAGGAGAGAGAGAGAGAGTATACACACACCGCGTACTCCAAGCAAGTGGATCTGTACATCTGACATTTTATCTTACATTCCGCGGAAAATGTTGTGTGGAAAGATTGATTGTCTGCCATAGAATGTATACAAGACATTCAATTTTACAATGTGCTTCTGTGATCAGACATAAGAAAATGAGCTATGATTTTGGTTTTTCAGCAGTGGAATATTTAAAAAGTTGTACATCTTTCAATTACAGTGTGAAGCTTCTGTCTTGGTACCTGCCATAAGAAAAGAGCTATATACTAAAGGATTTTTTTTTTTTGAAAAAGATTAGAATTGGGTTGAAGATTGCAAAAAAGAATATGTTGTTTAAACGGAAAGAATAATTGCAGGTAAAAACATGAAAAATCAAGAAACAACATTTTTTTACAAAAGAAATAAGGAAATTAATTGCTTAGGTAATAAAATGATTCAAAAAAATCATGGAAACAACAGTGACCATTGTGATGTTACATGAAACAATCAGTACCTTGGGCCTTCTTGTCAAACGCTTGCAGTAGAAGGAGTCATTGAACAACGGGTAACCCTGTAGAAGCCAATATAGAAGAAACATTATTGTTATTATGAACAAGGTTGGGGGAAATAAGTAAGAACAAAATAGTTTCAATAGAAGGACACAACTAACATTTTTTGTAAGAATGATTTTACTATGGATATTGAGTTTGGCTGTTGTTATAACTTATAAGTTGCGGTCTCATATAGCGTAGCGCCAGTAAATCATCCTTAACAAGAAAAAATATGAAAAATTTGAAGAAATTAAACGAAGGAGTTGGGTAAAGGAAGACTTAACTGTTAGCGATAATCAAATATTGCTCACCAAAATCGAATATTGTTCTTCAAATTCAAAAAAAAATCATCAAATTCAAAAATGATATACAAAATTCAAAAATATATTTCAGCAAAACTCAAACATATTCAAAAATAGTTCACCAAATTGAAATATTGTTCATGATATTCCGAAACAGTCCCGATTTTAAATATTGTCCGCGGCATTCAAAAAAATGTGTTTGAAATTCCAAAAAAAATCACAAATTCAACAAATATTGTTCACGGCATTCAAAAAGAGGTAAACCATCCTCATCAAACCACTTTTCGTAAGTACATCAATACCTTCTTTTTCTAATACGCTAAAAGTGCACACGGGCCGCTGTATCAAACAAATGGTACTCCATAGCAGGTAGCATCCACACCATTATTTGTTTGAGCTGTGTAGGTTTTGCTATCTCGTGCGCGCGTAAAGCTTGTGGATCTCCAGAGAGGCGCACAGACAGAGCTTCTTCTGTCGGTCCCTTGCCATACATCACACCATATGTGCTCACTGAGCTGGTCCTTGGAGATTTTCGGTAGCAACAATATATATCGACTGTCAGGCCCGCAAAAAAAAACAATATATATCGTCAGCCAAGCCTGGTTTACTGCAACTCGTATTCATCGTCAGGTAAATTTCAAACTCTGCGTCTGAAACACCACAAAGTATAGTTAGTTACTCCCTCCGTTTCGAATTACTTGTCTTGAATTTGTCTAAATACATTTGTATCTAGACTCATTTTAGTGCTAGATACATCCGTATTTAGACAAATCTAAGACAAGTAATTCGGAACGGAGAGAGTATAAATTAAGGATACGCGTTTACGCGAGCCAGGCCATGGCCCCACGTACAGGAAGATGAGCTTCAGGGCTCTCACATAGTAGATCCGGGGTTTCAAACCCATTACAAAGAAGGAAAGGTAACTTTAATTAACGCTAAAGTAAAGCAGGAGAACAAGGAAACCGTAGAAAGTAGTAATTCAAGTAGCGACAACTGGGGCGGACCCTTCACTGGCAACCGCCGGTCAGTCTGTATTTAACATAAAACCGTGTTTTAATAAATATGAACACCTATTTACTTGCATGAAGAATATTTAGAAAAAGTGTCTGCCAAATTTATATGCCCAATGCTTGAGTATTTTTAAAATATGTGCGTACATTTAAAAAATTATGCAAGAACAAATTTATAACATTAATGAATCTTTTTAAAATCCTGATTTTTTAAAAAAGATGAACATTTCCGAGAAAAAATTAAACATTTTTAAAATATTTGAAACTGCAAAAAAAAGAAAAAGGTAAAAGACAAAAAGTATAAAAGAAAAACCTGTGAAACAAACAGAAGAAAAACACCCAACCAGACAAACTGCTATGAAACCTATGGAAAAGAATCAATCCGAAAGAAAATCGCTCATGCTCTCCTCTTATTGGGACCTGGCACATGAGGCCGCCTCTGTGTATTTGCTGAACAATTTGACACAATTACCTTCAAATAGGGAACTCTCGAGCTTGGTTGAACAGTAAGATAAAAAATCAAAATATTCTGATTCTTTTGTAGCAAATGTTGACAAATGTTTTGATTGCTTGAATTTTAACATGGAATGACTTTCATGGAATACATGGCAAAAAAAAATAGATGCTCCAAAATACTTTTGAAAATAACATTTTTGGAGCATTATTTTCCACGTCTTCCACAAAGGTTATTCCATGATGAAATTTTGCAATTAAGAAAACAATTGTCAGTGTTTACAACAAAAGAACTTCTGAACTTTTTGCCTTTTTTTTCAAGTTTTTATTTTACTGTTCATCCGAGCTCGAGCTAAGATTGACCGCTTCCACTTAGGACTGCCTATTTAGCGCCTTTAGCGCTCTATATCACTAGCTTGATGGGCCACAGTCCAGTAGCGCTAATTCTTATGCTCCTCTCATGTCGCTAGCTAGGATGCATAGCTGCACTTTTTCTCAAGGCGCTAACTTAAAAAAAGACAGCGACCGGTTGCTAATAAAAACCTCTCTGGTTTTTGGTAGATTTGAATTTTTTCAAAAAATCAGAATCCATTGACAAATTTTAAAAGATGGTCGTGAATTTTAAAAAATGTTCAGGGGTTAAAATTCCCAATTTTAAAATTATTCATTAATTATACAAATGTTTACTTTTTTGGAAGAATGTCTGTGAATTTTGAAAATATTCATGGATTTATAAAACATTTATGAGTTTTAAATAATTGAACAATTTTAAAATGTGCCAAAATTTTAAAATGCTCATTAATTTTTTAAAAATAAGATGCAAAAGGAGAGGAAAAATGAAATAAAATGAACATTGAAAAATCCGAAAAAGAAACCAGAAAGAAACACAAAAAATAAAAAATAAAAAATAGCGAAAAACTTCTAGAATCCAAAAAGAGGTGAAAAGGGCGCCATCTGCAAAAAAGAAAGAATAAAGGTTTCACCAACAACATAGAGGAAGAATGAGATGAACTGAAAATCCCCCTTTTCATCCCCTCTATAGTTGTGACTAACCTGCCTGTGTGAATATTCACAATTTAAAAGATGGTCATGAATTTAAAAAAAATGCTCATGGTTTAATATTCATAATTTTATAAATGTTCATGAATTATAAAAGAATGTTCACTATTTTGAAAAAGTGTCTGTGTATTTTAGAAATATTCATGGATTTGAAGAAAATATGAATTTGAGAATTGTTGAAGAATTTTAAAATGTGCAGAAATTTTAAAATGATCATTAATTAAATAGAAGACAAAAGAGGAGAGGAAAAATGAAATAAAATGAACATTGAAAAATCCGAAAAGGAAACCAGAAAGAAACACAGAAAAGGAGATAAAAATGGCGAAGAGCTTCTAGAAGCTTCCCAAAAGAGGTGAAAAGGGCGCCGTCCGCAAAAAAAGGAAAAGAATAAAGATTTCACAAACAACATAGAGGAAGAATGAAATAAAATGAAAATCCCCCTTTTCATCCCTTCTATAGTTGTAACTATACTGCCTGTGTGCAGGCTGCAGGATGTAATTACTTAGGAGGGTGATCCCCAGCATGTAACTACTCTGTAAAACTGTTGGCTGTTTTAAATATATGTCATTAGGAGCCTCTATTCCTGTCTGCTTGCGCTAAAAAAAGAATGAAATGAAAATCCAAGGGATGTGGTTGGTTTTTTTTTTTACGGGCATGGGTGAGATGTGGGCTTGAATTTGTGACACCCCTGCAAAGAAAGAGACGTGAATAGTTGCAAAAGGAAAACTGAAGTGGAAATAGCGTTCATTCAATTAACAAGGGCATGCTCGTTGCAATCAACTTGCACACAGGTTGCTGCTATCTCCTCCGGCTATTTGCATCGTACGTCAGGGTAAAATCCAAACTCAGGCTTGGTGAATGTCACTTTAGCTAGATTTCAGTCAGCTGGCTTTTATGTTTGTTGTCAATCGATTTTCTGGTTGTTGATTGTGCTTTAAGATTTGTGTAGTTTTTTCCTTTTTCTGTCCTGTTTTGCTGTTGTACAGGGCTGTTTGGATTAGACTGACCCCTATTTTGGGTCAGTCAGTTTCCTTCTTGGGCTGGATTTTCATGTGTGCATGCTTTTTTTCATGAGTTTGCTTTTATTTTTCTATTTTTCTGTTGAGTTTTGTTTTTTCTTTACGTGTATTTCCGGATGTTGAGTGTGTTTAAATGTATACATGTACAAATTACATTAGAGTACGGAAACGTCACTCTTATATATTTATTCTATATATTATAAAAACTGCATTTTTTGTGCTAATTGTGTGGAAATTTTGTTTTTTTAATTTTCTTTATTCTTTAAGGTAATAAGAATGCTATTTTTTTGCTAATTAAATACAGTTTTCTATTATTATGTGTATGTATGCATGAAATTACTATACAATATTTGTGTATATTATACTAGACTGCAAAATGTTGCATTATTAATTGTGTATTCACTGCATATTATAAAAGGTGCAATTTCACTGCAAAGTTGTGTGCAAGTTTTATTGTATTTTCTTTCTTCTTAAGAGTAATACCAATGTCACTAATTTCCTCTTTCTTAGAAACTTTTA